GGATTGCGGCCGTTCTGGGATCGCGGTGATCGTTCCGATGCCGCGGCCGAACGGGGATCGCGGTGAGCCTGCTCGGTGATCCGCCGCAGGCAGCGAGTGCCCTGGGGTGGGTACGGCAACGAGTCGTGCGGGCATCTTTGCCAGGCATGCTGTTTTTGCAAACAGATGGCTAAGGTGGGTGTTTAGATATGCTTATAATACTGTGGAAGTGTTCAGTGCAGTGAAGACGAGGTATATACTTGCTGACAGAGTATTTGCAACTTTATCCTGTGCCAGTTGCGTTAATGAAGATACCATCACCCTCCAGAGTTTCCATCATAGCATAGGTATCAGCTTCGAATTTATGAAGTTACAGCTTGCTATCTGAGCATGTCGGTAGGCCTGTCATTACTGTGTTTTTGCAAGCTGCTTTAACCATGTTACTTAAGAAAAAATAGACCTGTTCTGAGTAACTATCACAAAACAGTCATTAAGTCTTCTATGCTCTGCTTTGCTAGAGGTAACTGAGTGCTTAAATAGGGGTGAGCACGAAATAGCCTTTTTCTTTATCCCTTCTAGCATAGTTGGAGAAGGGAAGTAATTCTCACTGAATACCTGTCTTCTGTCTTTAGTAGATTTTTATGGTCATCAGACTCTGTTCTTATGCCTAGTGACTTCATCAAGACGGTAAATTTGGACAACGTGATTTGGCATTGAAATCCCAAGAGGTTCTTTTTTATTTGATTTACTCTTTATGCTTTGCTGACTATTATGCCTTTTAAATTTGAAAGGTGGTGTCCAGTGGCTTATCCAGTAATGCTTTATCAGGCACTCCGACTGTCATGACAATCTCGTGACAATCATATGTTGCCTGTCCAGAAGGGGAAAGCTTGCTTTAATTTTGAGTCAGCTATGTGTTTGACTGCAGTTGGGACTGCATATCATCTGCAGCCCATCCATCAATTGATTTGGCTGTGAGCTAACTTAGCAAGGCCAGCTATGCCAGCTGTATTGTATAAGCTCTAGCACCTTCATAACAGAGGGTGGGAAGAAAGCAGATCTACAGATAACTGCAGAAGCTTGAAAAACCGTGTCATTTTTGCAGCAGAATTTGTCCAGCTTCGGACTTTGCTGGAAATAGTTTACATTTTGTTTGTATTTCAGTAGGTACTGGGAGTGGTGGGAGGAAGAACTGCTAAATCATAGGTGAAATCTCATGTTTACTCTGTGAACCATTTCTTGAAAGTACCTTCAAAAGCTAGAGCTTATCAAAGCATTTTTCCATTATGTGAAATATTCCTTCTGAACACAGGAGATTAATTTGAGAATAGCACAGGTAATAAGCTATTTCTAAAACTTCAGATGTCCCTGCATTGTGAACACTCATATCCCACACTGTTATCCAGCATCCTGCAATGCTGAACTTGTTGAAACTGAAGAATATAGTATTTTGCATTTTTGTGGGTCACTTTGTGTGCTATGTTTTTCTTTCTCCAAACAAATTGCCACAACATAAAATACTTCCTTTTTTGCTTCAAAACATTTGAAGCAAGTGGGTTTGCTTTTATTTACAGTTTTTCTGTTTAAGCTGTCTCTCTTGATGCATGTTACATTAGGCTCAGATGAAATTTCTGTAGAAAGGTGTTCCCAATTCAGAAAAAATGTAGGCAAAACCAATAGCAATAATAAATTATTGCATTGGGTATTATGCTTTTTTCCAATCATTGCTCCACTGGCAACTCAGAAGAACGTTGCTGGTTGCCATTTTAGATTAAATTTGTGTTTAGAAGCACAGTTGCACAGCCATATCCATCCGGCAAGGAAGTATGGACTGCTTCTGAAATCTGGCTCAGCCTGCCTCCTCTGTATGTTAGTGCTTAGCAACATCAATTCCCAGAGCTGATTTGTACAGCAGGTCCTGGCAGTTGTGTGTGAGGGGCGTGAGTATGGTGGAGGGCAGGGCTTTGTCTTTTGGCAGCAGTCTGCTGGTGTGTTTTTTATGACTGTGGAAAACCCCTTCAGGCTCAAGATGCTTGGCCTGGACTTTCCACCCTCAGAAGCTGGTGCTTTGCTTTTCTGAAGCTCAGCATTATAGATGCAAGATCTGTTTTATTTCTGTTTATTTAAGCATGCTATTAATAAGAAAAAACTCTATCCAGTTTATAATGATTCTTTCCATAATGTGTAGTGTTGAATGTGTATTAGTTGGCTTGTGGAGCTGCATTAGTGACATTTGAAAAGCTAAATAATATTTCCAGTGTTGCAGTTGCATTTTCTCACTGTGTAAGTTTAAATGTTCAGTGAAATGGTAAAGTAGGTTTCAGGGTGTCTTAAAAGTTTCTTCTAAAATTTACTTTTGTTGCTTTTTTTTTTAAGTCTGTTGCTTTACTATTTTATTTTTGTATCAGTATTGTTATATTACTAGATTGATACTGAAAGACAAATTTATAACTTTAAAGTTTTGTAAAGGGAATCAGTGCACACTTGTCATTACAAGTGACAAGTTTGATGTTAAATCTAAAATTACTAGCTCAGTGTTTGTTACTTTGCAGCCTGTGTGGTGTTTGGCTGTTTTTCAATTTTCATTTAATTTACTGGTGAAAATACTTAGAGCAATAGACTGACTGTGCCTGAAAATGTAGTGATCTCTAAGGTGAGTTTAAAAATCCTTTCCTAAGAAGTCCACCATGTGCTGAATCTCAGGACCACTTTTGATGGGTTAACATGTGCTTGTTGCTTTCGCTGCTGGATGGCAAGAAAAAAGGTGTCACATTGGCATGTTTGTTGCTCTCTGTTTTGCCCGAAGGGGATGGAGGAGGGGATCTAAGCACTGAATTCCTGACTTAATTTAAGCCGGAGCAGTCCAATGGTGGTGTATGATCGGCTTCTCTTCAGTCTGTTGCTTTTTCTGGGAGGACGCCGGCAACAGCTGCTTGAGCTGACTAAATGCCGCTTCCCACACTTGTTCATAGCCCATCCCAGCGGGTCGGGCCTGCTGCTGCCTAAAGGAGTAAAGGGCAGAGGGGCAGCTGTGTCCGAGGGCAAAAGTCCAGCTCTCTGTGGTAGCTTATGCAGCGCTTGCCCAGCCCCAGCGTTCTCCTTTAGCCTGCGCTCTCACAGCCGGGGAAGGCTGGTTGTGGTTGGAAGAGGATGGGTGGCTGCTTGCTCAGGAAATAGCCTGCAGTCTCAAACCCAGAGCTTTCCCTTGAAGATGCCAAGTAGGGACTACTGTGATTAAACATTTAGACTCTGAGCAGTCTGGGTGTGCCCTTGAGGTCTCGTAAGAATAAGGCTTGCTGTATACCGTCTTCTGCTGAGATCTGTGCTGTAATAGCATTTGTACCTGGACCCTTCGCTGCACTGATAATGCCTGAGACACCCCACTCCACACCAAAGGTGCAAACATCCTAGTTTGAGGTTTTCTATTAGTAAAGTGACTGTTGAAAGCAATTGCTTATGCTTGGTTTGACAGAATTTCTGAATAAGCTAATGCCCAGTCTTCTCCCCCGCCCCCCCCAATAGTGTAGAAAATTACTTCTGTTTTGAAAACAAAAAATAATATTAACGTGAGTCTTCCTTTTCCTTTAGTGTTCATCTTTGTCTTGCCTCACTGGATGCATGCAGCAGCTTCCTTACTTTGGCAGCCATTTTCTTAAGCTCCATTTGGGAGAGGCTCCTGCCTTTTTGGAACACTTCAGCTTTTTTTTTTTTTTTTTAGGTATCTTTATTCTTCCTTCTGTCAGACAGATTAATCTTATGGTACTGTTCTTAAATCAGCAAGTTGGAAACTGTTAAAGATTGAAATGCAAAACTAATATTAATATATATTCTTTTTAAGAAGTTGTTTGTCTCTGGTAGCCATTAAGACACAATGATAAATATGACTTTGCATTGAACTGCTATGTTTTACTAGCCATACTTGCACCTCTGTTAAGTGATCTAATTTTGACATTTAATACACTATAATTGTGGCCAATGTATCTACTTTTTCTAAGGTAATTATGTTTTTTTTTATTAATGTTTATGTTTTGGGGAAGAAATTGAAATTAAATGTTTTCTTCAGGAAAAATTCTGAAAGCTAAGTTTAGGCTGATACGATAGGGGAAGTGCACTATCAGACTATGTTTTACCTTTAAAGGAAAGGAAGTAGTATGTGTAGACAGGAATTTGAGTATTTCGGATTAGTTTCTTCAGCATCTTAGAACTAATATATTTTACACCCTTTTTCTATAGTTTTTGTATAATTCTTGCATTTTTAACTTAAATTGCAGAAACTAGATTGATCTAGTAATTGAATTCAATTGGTTGAATATAGTGGGAAGATGAATATATTTTACCTGCACACGCACGTATGATGTGATTATTATCAAAAGCAGTTGTTGCATTTCAGTAAAATCTAGTTCCAGGAGTATGTTAAACAGTTGACTGGAGGGGGTGAGGAGTTGGCTTACTTTTTAAAGAAATTCCGGGGGCAGGGGGGGAGCAAACTAGGTATCAATACATTATAAATGAAGTTTATTATCAAAATGGTTTTTAATGCTTTATTGTTAGCCAAGTAATATTCTGATAAGCAAGCAGACTTAGATTGGGATTTCTCTGTCCAATTACATTTGGGTAGTAGAGTATGTAAGTCCAGAATTGCTTTGGGGGTCACTGGTGCAAAGCATTCTTGGTTTAAGGCTAGTGTGAGAAGGCTCGTCTTTGCTTGACTACCTTCTTACAGTCATTGTGGTGCTTGTAGCCTAATACAGGAGAATAGTGAGTTTATGATGCCGAAGCAGAATTGTGTAACACGTATATAGATTTTGCAGGTCACATGCTTTCTAGAGGCTTTAGTTGGTCTTAAAGCTCATTAATAGAAGACCAGATAATGTATCTGGAAGTCAGATCAATCAAATAGTGCTGCTTATTTGCCTTTGATTGTGTTGTGTTTCCATACACATTACAGGGGAAGCTCTCATAGATTTTCCTGGATAATCATCACGACTGAGTGCCTCTCTAAAGTGCCTGTACGTTAACACTCACAGTATGGGAACAAACGGAAGGAATTGGAGGTCTGCATGCAGCTGCAGGGCTACAATCT